ACGTAAAGCAGAAATAAAGGATTGTTTAAACAGAATATGGTGCAATCATTTAAAAAAATATCCACATGTACCCACAGTTTTTCATGATTTAAAATAGGAACTTCTAGTATAGACTTATTGAAGAGATATATATGTATCTTTTCCCATGTAGCTCTGAAGCTAAACTCAATTGGGAACAAGTATTTCTACTTTTCTCCCCATATTTAGATGGTAACTTGCTACATGCCACCTTTAGTATATCTATTTATCTCTGAATTGCTAGAATAAAAACAAAAACAAAACCTTAGCTAACCCTTTAAGTGTCTATTTATCAACCTGTGTTCAATCTAAAACTAATTTGAGTTGATTCAACTGTGACATTAGTTCAGAATCTTGGGATGTTCAATGGCAGTGAAACAGACTGCTTTTGATAATGAAATGTTTTATCCAGCAAAGGATTTTGGAAGAAAACATGTCCTCTGAGGGATAAGTATTTCATTGGCTTAGAAGAATTTCCTTGCCTATGAAACCAGAGGCTATCATCTGTGAGTGAGATGAATATTTAATTTTCCATGATATTACAAATAATCTCAGCAGAATCATATCATATCATACTGAGGTACTTAAAAGAAAAGCTAAGAGTGAATGGTTATGATCTACCACCATAGATCAGCAATCATTGAAATATTCATAAGAACATCCTCTTCTGGTGGCAGCTGCATTCCAGAACTCCTTTCATATAAAGACATAATCACAAAACATAATTGTGAGAATAAACATCCCAGAGCAGAACATAATCATAACTGGAATTTCTAGCCACAGGTGTGCTGGCTAATCTTCTCTTTATGTTTGACTGCTTATGGACTATAAAGCCAGTCTAGGCTTTTAGCAACTCCTTAGATAGACTTCTCTGGGAGGATCTTTCTCTAATTAGACCTTTGAGGTCTGCCAATAATGGACCCATCACTGTTCTGATTAAGTACACTTCCCATCCTGTTGGTCTGGTTCTTCTCTTTTCCAGATTATGGTCTTCAGAAGGGAATAGGATCTTAAAATAATGTATCCAAAATAAAATAATTTGAGTCTGGCCATTTGAGAGAATTTTTATTAAGAATTCTGGAATGATACAATTCATTTTTTGTTGTCTTGGCTATTCATATTCTCAGCTACAACACTTATCTATTCTTATCTACAACACTATAGTTTAAAAGCATCGATACTGTACTATCTTCTTTCAAAAACCAAATTTTGCTTTCATGGTGCACCACAGGAAAAACCATTTTCTGATTGATTCTGATCTTTGAAGCATAGACACATCATGGCATCTCAATATATTTTCCATGACTTTCATTGCTATTCTGTCAAGTGCTAATCTCTGGTGTATTCTTGGTTGTCAGTTCCTTTACTGTGGATAGTCAATCCTAAAAAACAGAATCTAACACATTAAGATCTTCATTGTCAATTTTAAAGTTGTTGGTTGTCCTTTGTTATTGGAATTTTTTTGTAAAAAAAAAACCTGTAATCTAAATCATTTTTACTGTGTTCCTTGAATTTCATTATCAAAGCTTTTCATGTTTATTTGGTGATACATTTGGCTGGATTGAGTAGTATTTATTCACAACTTTTTGAATTTCATAAAAAAAAATCACTATGTACATAGAACTATAAAAAGATAATTTGTGATTGTGCATCTTTCAGAGTCCTAGGAAAGCTATGGGACCCTGAGAAACCTTTGTAAATTATTAAAAATCAAGTTTGGTCTTTTTTTCTGAAATCATATTAGGGTATATGTGGACTAGAAGAGTGCAGTAAAGAGATATAGAAAATGCTAATTCTTTGGTACCATGTAGGGTGGCATGGAGTTGTGTAGCTCATATATGGACTAAGTTATATTTGCCCAATACCCTGGTGACTGTTGCAGGATCAGATTGATTCAAATCTGTGAGCCTGCTTCATATTTGGCTGCTATTTCTAGTAAAATGCCCTGCCATTGTGTTAGATGTTTTCATTTCTAATAATTTTTTGTTTTCTAACTTTTTTTTGCTACCTTAGGTTATTTGGGTTCTTCTCTGTTCACAGTAACTGTTCATCCTTTGAATATTTTGATTATAATCTAAGTATCTAAATATGTTTTCCTTTGCTCATTGTGATTAGCAAGCAATAAATGTTGATATCCTGTCTCAGTTCACACACACACACACACACACACACACACACACACACACAGAGTATGAGCAGGGTTAAGTATGTTTATTTCACACAGCCACCCCCAAGTCATTCCCCAAGTCCCAACTCTGCATGTGCCATCTTTAGACTCAGTTTTGATGATCTCTTCAGAAAATACTAACAAAAGCAATGGGTGCAACACAAGCCACACTCTCTTCCGTGACTAAGGCCCGAGGGCAATGGCAGTAAGGTGAACTAAGAAGTCCAGGTAGGACTACGGCAAGGGGAGTCAAGCGACTTCTGTCAGAATGACAGCAAGGTGAATTAGTGAACTCCAACCAATCAGCAACTGCTGATTGCAAGCCCAACAAAAGCAACCACAACTCTCCATACTCCAGGCAATGGGAAGACAATTTGGCTTTGATGGCTTCAAGGCACAACAAAGGCACCACAACACTAGCTGATTCAAGGCATGACAAAGGCAACTTGTCTTCAATGGGTGTAGGGCATGACAATGGCAATTTTACTTCAGTGGGTACAAGACACGATGACTGCAACACAGTGTCAGTGAGTTCAAGGCAATATCCTGTAACTGGGTCACTTAAGTCAGGAGTCCCCAACCGCCGGGCCCTGGACCGGTACCAGTCCGTGGATCATTTTGTACCGGGCCACAAAGAATGAATAATCGTGATTAAAATATATATAAAAATATGTTTTTGCTTCCGGGTGTCTTATTTTGAAAGACAACCACTTCCGCCCTCGCCTAACTTCCGCACTTGACTTTTTGGCGCGTATTTATCCTGCATCAGCAATGCAAGCTAGCCCTCGCAAAATGAGTTACGGGTTCATCGCAACAGGTGATTCACAAGCCCCACACCCACTCTGTGTAATATGCAGTGACAGATTTTTGTTATTGGAACCTTCACGCCCCTACCCGGTCCTTGAAAAAGTGTTTCTGCGTGAAACTGGTCCCTGGTACAAAAAAGGTTGGGGACCACTGACTTAAGTGATGCAATCCTTGCAGTCTGTTACTGATGTAACCTTAAGACTGTGCAACTTATTAACTGAGGACCTCAAGTGACCACAGCATGAGGCAGGAATTCCAGACAAACAGCTGAGAGCTATGAGTGGGTGGGCATTGAGGGCAGTTTCTATGGAGGATGCGCAGGTGCCGCAGGCAGATACTATGGAGTGCTGGAGGGTGTATGGGCAAAACCGCAATGGACTGACTTGCAATATCCTGCCTTCTCTGTTGGTTGGTTGTCAGAGACTGGCAGGGAAGGTCACAAATGACAATTATGTGAATGCTGCAGCCATCGTAATTGCAAGCAATAGCCAAGTGCCTAATTCATTGTATGATTGTGGAGATACTCAGTGGGTCACAATTTAAGTCCCTCTTGTTCAGCACCTTCTTAACTTTGAACTATCACTGAATGAATGCTTGCAATGGTTAAGTTTTTCTGTTGCAGCCTCTATTTTGAGAATACCATCCCACCTGAGATTAGAGTGGCACTCTCATTGTTAGTCTTCCAAAAAACTTTAAATTCCAGGGAGGTATTTGGGAAATGAACAGCAACCAGTATACTTACTGCTTTCTGGCTGTTTATGCTCTTATTTGTCTTTTATGTTTTTATTCTATTTCTCTTTGGTATCTTGTAAATTACTGGGAGTCATTTGTGTTGAATATTGCATAATAAGCATAACTAATAATAATCATAATAATTTATTAAATTTATATGCCACCTGATTTGATGCCTACATTATTAAATAAGTAGTAACATTTCTATATTAAATATTGACAAATGTCTAGATCTTAAAGTAGGGAAAAACATATCAATAAATGTCCCCTCACACAATTTCTACTTACAACACTATCAAGTTTTTAGGCAGCCCTTTAAAATATTTTTATTTATTAATCAAATTTATATTCTCTGAGATCTCCAATAAACGTAGACAACATTGTATTTAGTACTCTCATCTTAGAATCTTAAGAAAGTTACTTCTTATTACTGTTAGCTATACAATATCCTACTTTTCATTATAGCGTCATTGCAAATATCCTCTTTACCAACATTCTTTTCATTGTTCATTAAAAGATTAGATTTAGCGTAATCCAAAAGCTACTCCGATATGCACAGCAATTCATAAATTTTAGATATTTGTACCAAAACTGTGTTATCAAAAGTTTTAATTGGATATTCCGCTATTCCAGTTTCAGACAATACAACTGCCTCTAACAGTTTGATGCCTCCCAAATAGATCACGTACTTCACTTATGACATTTAAAAGCTCTTGAAAACCTGGATTTTTTAAAAAAAAGAACATTTGGACATTGAGGTGTAATACCTACCTACTGCAATACCTGGGACATACATTACTCTATCCAAACTCTTAAGCAGCGATTTTTCGCCAAACTTACAGCTTATGGATAAAAATGTAAGAAAAGAATCTTGGCAACAATATTTATTTATTTTATTATTTATTTATTTAAATCATATTGCCGCCTATTCGCCCATGGCGACTCGAGGCGGCTTACACAATGTAAAACCATATTTAAAACAAAAATAATAATAATAAAAAACAAAAGCTAACAAAAAGAATCAAATAAATTCGTAAAGTAAAATACGAAGGTGGTCCGCTGCCACCCCTTCACTTGGAGCTCCCCATACACACATGAGGCATCTGACGCGCCTCAGACAATCGACCAAGTCACCAAGGCGACAACCAGACGAGAACTCGTCCACCGCGAACTTTTGAGTTTGCGCCGCCCCCCCTTCCAGTTTCCGGTACAGAGAAGCGGAGGTGACGCCCGCCCGCGCGCCCGCTCTTGCGCCTGCGCACTAGCTGGCGAGCTGTCACGGCGCTCGCGTGTTTAGTTTGCCGTTGCTGTGGCAGCCGTGGCCTTTGTGGCCTGGCTGCGAAACGTTCGGGCAGGACGGAGGCACCGGGGAACACCAGCGGCAGCTCGGCCGCTTTCTCCTCCTCCTCCCCTTCTCCATCCCCGCCGCAGTCGCTCACCTTGCTGGTGATGCAGCCCTGCGGCGGGGACGGAGAGGCGGTGGGCGCCATGCTGCAGCCTCAGGTGGTGCAGCCCGCGCAGGCTGTCTCCAAGGCGCCGTCCGCCCAAGGCAGCCTCATGCTCTTCTACGAGCTGGGGCCCGCGGGAGAGGCCGAAGGGGGGGACAGCGAAGCCGGCCACGGGGCCACGGGTGCGGACGGCGCGTGTAGTCCTACCGGCGGCCTGGAAGACCTGGACGACGAGGATGAGAGTGGCGCCCAGTCCGGGGGAGGCGGGAGCGGCGGCGGGTGCAAAAGCTGCACGTACGAGGGTTGCAACGAGACCACCACCCAAGTGGCCAAGCAGCGCAAGCCGTGGATGTGCAAGAGGCACCGCAACAAGATGTACAAGGATAAGTACAAGCGCAAGAAGAGCGACCAGGCCCTCGGAGGGGGCGGCGGCGGCGGCGGTGCAGGCGGCGGTGGAGGAGGAAACGCCCCCTGCTCGGCTACCGCGGTGGTGGCGGCGGCGGCGGTGGTGGCGGCGGCCGGAGCTGCCCTTTCGGGGAGCAGTGGGCGAATCGAGGTAAGGTTTGGAAGGAGCGGTCCCAGCGACGGGCTGGGTTTCTTCTTAACAGTTGTTGAGTTTAAACGGATAAAGGGCATATGAAGCATCTACCTACCGTGTGAGGCCCATTTATTAGCTAGTCTGGTTAAGATTTGGAGGCATGATTTGTGAACGCAGTTTACAGCAAGGAAAACTTCTGTTAAGATAATCACTTACTGTCTTTTTCCACGTAACACTGGAATGACGGTCTAGAGCAGGGGTCTCCAACCTTAGCAACTTTAAGACTTGTGGACTTCAACTC